TTTTTTTTTTTTTTTTTTTTTTTTTTCCCTGCTTAACCATGGTCAGGGCCATTCTAGTTACTCTGAATACAATAGTGGTAAAACTGAACCTTGGAAGATTTGTACTATAGTGAGAGAGATATGAGATCAATGGGAGAAAGGAGAGGTATAGAGGAAGAAATAAGATTTTAGATAGAATTAAGTACATATAGAAGATGAAGGCTCAGAGAATTAAAAAGAATGAAAAAGTACATATAGAAGATGAAGGCTCAGAGAATTAAAAAGAATGAAAACGGGCTGGGGATTTAGCTCAGTGGTTCTGCCACCTGCCTCACAAGCACAAGGTCCCAAATTTGATCCCTGGTACCGTCCCATCCCCCAAAAAAGGAATGAAAATGGTGCTTGCCAGGGAAACGTTGCCAGAAGTTTATTTTCAATGCAGTGGTCAGAGAATCTTCTCTGAGAAATGGTATTTAAGCAGCCACCTGAACAATAGGAAATAAACTTATAAGTGAATATTTGGAGGAAGACCGTTCCATGCAGAGATAAAAGTAAAATAAAGACCTGAGTCAGTAACAAGGTTGATATATCTGAGGAATTAAGAGAGGCAGGGTGACCTAAGGCAAATTGACTGAGGAGAATATTAAACATGAGGTTAGAGAAACCAGTAAAGTTTCTCAGGATATTCTAAGTGAATATAGAAATTTGGGGAGGATTTTGAGCATGTTTGCTTTTTAAAGACCACTCTTCTTGCTGTGTATGACTTCAGGGATTAAGAATGGAAGATCAGAAGCAAGGAGGTGAGTTATAAGGCTCTGTAGTATGGCCCATGTGAGAGATGATGATAGCTTGAGTCATGCTGTTAGAATTAGTTGGGAAGTGATTGGATTCTAGTTCTGAAAGATAGGCTTCCAAAATTTGCTGTTCTAACACACTTAATTTTCATAATCTTGCATCCCTTTTTTGTTTCTTAACCACTTTTCAAAATTAAAGCTTGAATATTTGAAATACTTCACAACTGATAGTCTAGAAATTTTTAATATTGTGATTAAGTCACATGACAGATTTATGTTCATTTTTCAGAGACCATGCAGTATGGAGTTGCAGAGTTATATGCCATTTTTCCCATCTTTTTATTGGTCAGCTTTCATTTTCTTGCATTTTTTTAGATGTTAGCCAATAGTTAATTATATGTTATAAATGCCATCTATTTTAGTTGTCTTTTCACTCAGTTGGATCTTTTAGTGAAAAAATGTTCCTAACTTTAATATAGTCAAAATTATCATTTGCCTCCTTTAGTTGCTGCTTTTACAAGAAATCCTTTCATACCCTGAAGCTAATTAAGGTATTTTTGCATAGCATTTTCTGAAAGCTGTATAGCAGTAGCCATGAACCTTTGAGAGCTTTCAATGATACAAATAGCCCACTGTGGCACATGTGCCATAGTTTTGCCCCTGCTGCTTTATAATACAGCGTTTCACTTTTTTTTGTTTTTTTGGTTTTTTTGGTTTTTTTTGGTTTTTTGAGACAGGGTCCCACTATGTAGTTCAGACTGCTCTACAACTCACTGTGTAGCCCAGGCTGGTCTCAAACTTGCAGCAATCCTCCTACCTCAGCCTCCCTAGTGCTGGGATTACAGGCATGTGCCACCACGCCCAGGTGCATTTCACATTTTTGTTTTTAAACTTTCTAGCACTGATGTTTTGTGGAAGGCCCATTTAACTTTACACATGGATAATCCACTTTTCTTAGCTCTGTTTACTGGAGAGTTCATCCAGAAGCACCCATGTCATTTATCACTCATTGGTGTGTGCTTGTCTCAGTTTCTGGCTCATCCTGTTATCAAATTGTCTGTCTTGCAGCAGCACTACACTCTCAATTGTTGTAATTTCTTTTCATGAGTTTTAAAAAGTTTAAGTTATACAAAACTGTGCATATTTATGGGTGTAGTATGTTATTTCAGTACATGGTTACAATATATAATGATCAAATCAGGGTAATTAGTGTATCTGTTATCTCAAACATTATTTCTTCGTGATAGAGCCATTCAAAATTGTCTAGCTGTATTGAAATCTACAATGAATTACTGTTAACTTCATTCACTTTACTATGCTATAGAGTAGTAGAGTTTTTTCTTCCTGTGTTTTTCCGACCACCAGTCTCCCAAGCCTCTCAGTTTTTTACAAAATTCATAATCTATAGAGTAAGTCCTTCCAATTCGCTCTTTGGAATGTGGCTATTCATTGCTTTTTGCTATTCTGTACAGATACCAAGAATCAATCTTATTCTCTAGTCCCCTCTTCTAGGGAATTTTGATTAGGTTCTTTATTTTGTAGAACAATTTGGGAGACATTTCTTTACAACATGAATCTTTAAACTTAGACTATGTTGTATTTTCATTCTGCATGCATTTGGATCTCCTTTAGTATCCTTCTGTAGGTATTTTCTCAGTAGAGGCCTTTCACATTTTTTTTTTATAGCACCGGGCATCAAACTCAGGTCCTTGTGATTGTGAGGCAGGCCCTGGAACCACTGAGCTAAATCCTCAGCCCCCTTGCACATTTTTTGTTAGGTACATTCTGGCTTTTTTTAATTTTTTTAAATGGCCCCAAGGATCAAATTCAGGGCCTTGAGTTACATCTTCATCCTTTTGACACTATTTTAAACAGCATTTGATTTTTTTTTTTTTTTTTTTTTT